CAACCAACTTGATGCCAGAAGGTGTCGTTTGGTTTTGGCCACTCAAAGGCAATAGGCTAGGTCGGGTTTCGGCACACTTTGTGTCAGAAAAGAGAAATGCGATAGTATTTCCTATAAATGTGAACATGGTGATGGTCGACACCGGTTGGTTTCCCCAACTAGAGTTACTGTGCAGGAGCACACAAAGCCTGGAAAGAGAATGAACAGAGAAGAGTGGTGATACCCACCAGGGCACAAATGACACGTGAACCACCCACATCCTGGGAGCTCTGCAATGGCAGGTAGACTGTGGGCATTCAGACAGTGGGGACAAAGGCACAGGGGTAGACCAGAGCTACAGATACCAGTATGTCGGAAACTTAAAAGTATCTTGAGGAAACAAGTCACTGAAGAACCAGACAGAGGGATCCCTGAACTCACAGAAAGCTCAAAAGAGGCTGAACTGGATGATACAGTCTATGGGTGAAGACCTGAGGGATAAAGCTGTCCTAACAGCAATAATGTGGGTCACAGTCCTCAACTTCTAAGACAGAGAGGAACAAGCTGCAGGCAAGAGGGACCACAGGCATTCCTTTCTGTTTGAGAAGTTTATATTCATTAAATAACAACACTCTCACTACAAACAGTCCAAATGTTTTGGAAATTTTTTTTCCAGTGGAAACTTTAAGCTTAAAAACTTACATAAACACATCTCATGGGTTTATATGAAAAAAGAGAATAATCATTGAAGACTGCTGTGAATGGTCAATAAGGGACAGGGATTAAAGCATAGCTCTAGGGATCCAGGAGAGGCCAGGAGAGAATGAACAGACGAGACTGGGGATTCGAGGTTCCCACACACCTGGGTGCCTCATAGCTTTAGTGATGTCAGCAGAGCACCAATACCAAAGGACCCATAAACAGGAAGGGGCTTACCCGTCAGACTCTCTCCTCACTTTCCTAACCCAGAACACATGGGGGGGGCTATAGGTTTAAAACTCCACAGATAATGTTCCAGTACCTGGGGGGTAGTTAAGAAAATTGGGACGAGAGACGGGCTAAAGATGGGTTTGGAGGCCCGGTCTCAGGCTCCACAGGCCCTATCGTCAGGTTCTGCTCAGCAGAGTCTGTCCACAGCACACAGCACCAAAATCCTGGGTGGCCCCGTGCTGCCAGCTCTGAAAGTCACAGAGGAAGGTGACCCCAGGCATCCAAATCTTGAAAAACCTCACATAGATATAGGCACACTCATGTTCAACACAGCACTATTTACAATAGCAAAAAGATGGAAACAACCTAAGTGCCCATCAATGGAGGAATGGATTACTAAACTGTGGTACACACACACAATGGAATACTATGCAACCCTAAAGAATGATGGAGAATTTGCAAAACACTGCCTAACATGGATGAACTTGGAGGACATGATACTGAGGGAAATAAGTCCATCACAAAAGGACAAATATTGTATTAGCCCATTATTGTAAAAAGTCAAAGAAAGGTTTACAGAAGGAAGGAAACTGTCTTTGTTGGTTACCGGGGGACGGGGAGGTATCTGTAAAAATTAAAAATTATTTTTTTTTGTTTTTTTTTAAAGCCACATATATACAGAGGAAGGGCCCAGTGACAGTGGAGCTGGGGCTCAGGTGCCCCTTAGGGCTCATCCCTTGGCCTCCTCGACCACCTTTACTTCCTCATTGAGGAATCACAGACCCACAGCACACAGCTGGTCCCCTAACGAGTCATATCCAGCCTCACTGACTTTGGGTAAGAACCCAGTTTTCTGTAGAACTCACCATTTCCTGGTTCAACATTCTGAAGGTCTAAGGGAATGTCGTCTCTAGGCCCAGGAAACCACTTCAGGAAGAGGGAGGGGAGTGGAAGCTGAGCACCGGGCAGTCTGGAGGCAGATGAACAATGTCTGGTCCACACACCAGTCAGGGCTGCTGAAATCCTTTGCTGGGATTTTCAGATGTGCAACACAGTCGCCCTGGGTCCTGCTGCCTGGACTGGACTAGTGCCCCACACTGCAGACCTGAAACGGAAGAAGGATGGGGAGGAGCCAGTGGTGAGTGAGCAGGAGTGACAGGTGACTGGCTTCCTCCCAGGCCCAGGGCCATGCTCCACCCTCAGGGCATCTGCAGTGAAGGTGAACGGCCTCCAGCCTCCAGAGCCCACGCCTGCATTGTCCATGTGGCTCCAGGGTCTCCTCTTTGTGCAACAACATCACAGATGGAAGAATTCACCTCTCCCAGGCCCTGCGAGGTGACCATGGCTGGTCAGGTTGGAAAACTTGACCCTGAGTTCCTTCACGGAGCCAGGGGTCCAGTGTGAGAGTTGTAGGTTCCCTTACATACCTCTGTCCCTCATAAATCAACCCCAACACTGGTATTTGATATTCACATGGGGCAATGTTCAGGAAGAACATATTTTGCAACTTTGACAACAAACTTCTCAAGGTTCATTCATTTTCAAGTATGAACAGTTAAAAACCATGTACTGTACTTTAAAAAGGAGGTCTGGTAACACAATGCCTAAGGCATTTGACTGCTAATCAGAAGGCTGGCAGTTCAAACCCACCAGCCACCCCTCAGAGGGCAGACTGGGCAATCTACTTCCATAAAGATACCACCTCGGAAACCCAAGGAGGGGTCACTATGAGTCGGGTTCGACTCCATGGCAGTGAGTTTAGTGTTTGACTACCTTAAAAACGTTTCCCTCAAATTTCTAACACTATACTACCTTCTTGGTATTTTTCTTGTTACTTTCATGATTAACATTTCTTTCTTCCCTTTGTACCTTTTCTTTTTCCCCTTCGTTCTCACACCATGACACCACTAGACCCTAAGCTTTTGAGAAATCTGGGAGGATTCCTGAACACTTGCCTTTCAACCATATAATAAATCAATCAACAAATAAATCATACGCAATCATGTTTTCTCTAAGTAGCTGTCTCGCATTTCTTCTCACTCTGCGTCTCCTCCCTGCTGACTGTTCTTGCATTTCTTGGTCTCGGTGGGAATTTCCTCTCTCACCTGCTCTTTGAACTATCTGCATCTACAATGTGTCCCTGCACTACCTTCCTGATCCACAACCAAGTGATCCAAGTCCAGACATCAGTCTGTGGTCACTGCTTGACGTCACTCAATCATGGTTACCATTTCCAAACTCTTTCCAGCACCACAACTGGGCTGTGCACTGGCCTCACTAAGTCCAGAGTGGTCAGCATCGTTCTAAAACACCTGCTGCCGATTGCCTTCTCCAATCTGCCTCACAGAGAGCTCCCACCCACACTGTTTCCTTCCCTTCAATCAGCTCATTCATCAGTGAGGACATCCTCTGCTGCCTCAGGGATTTACTCACTCAGTTTCCCAACTGCTCCACCCCCACCCAAACCACCTGCTATTGAAACCCAGCGGAGTCAAAGTTTCGCCTGCATCCCTGGCTGAAGACACATAAGCAAACATAACAACTCAGTTCCTTAAGAACTGAATGGAATGAAAGATCAATTACCACATTCTTTTCATACTATTCCCCTAGAAAGGTGATAAGCATGTTAACGTGTCTCAGCAGACAACCTGAAAAGGAACCTTGGCCCCTGGACATGTGCAATGAGACAAACAGGAACAAAGTTGCTGGGAACTGACATTCTCCCCTTTGCCTAAGCCCCATCAGCTGCAGACAGGATCAGCTGATGACAGGAAGCCGGTGGGACTCATGTGGTGCTGCACTAAAAATCAACTGTCCCTTTAAACCGAGGAGAAGGAAGCTTCAGCTAACTGAGGAGTTAATTCACGCCCAAATTCCTGAAGTTTTTATGAATATGTATAACCTCCCTCTCCCGAAGCTTACAAAACTATAACCTCATCTCCATTCAGGGAGTCAGATTTGGGTACTGGCCCATCTCCGTGCACTGATGCTTTGCAATAAATAATTTTCTCTCCTCTTAATCACTCGGTGTGTAAACCAATTTGGCCTGACTGTGCACCGACCCACGTTGGGTCCTACTTCACTATCAACCCCACACAACCAGGAAAGTAGCAAAATAAAAATAATTTTCTGAATCTTCACATAAATATTGACTAGTGACATGGAGCTCCCATTTTGCCATCCTGACAGTGGCAATATGCACTGTTTGTGCTCCAGGAAGCCTTCCACCTTTTAACAACTGGTTCTTTGGTGGCAAAGACTGTGGTTCAATCCCCCGCGTGGACTCGAGCACAGACACGCAGGCAGACAGACAGACAGACAGACAGACACAGACACACACACACACACACACACACACTGGGGGTGTGAGCTCCGTACGCCCCTCCTCGCCTGGAGTAAGATCGTTCAGCTGCGTCACATTTCACATCAAAGCAACTCGGACTGGCCCAACGGTTCCTCCCACAATCTTGATGAAAACGGCCTGCCTTACAGCCAAAGAAACGCCTGAAAAAACAGCTGCCACTAGTTTTTTTTTTCCTGGAATTGGGATAAATACGAACTTAAAAGTGTGTACTAGTTCCAACACCTGTTTCTTAAATTTTTCATCTGTCTTAGAAAAACAATAAACCAAACCCATTGCCATCGCGAGTCCACTCCGACCCACAGCGACCCTCACTGGGTTTCCAAGGGTGTAAATCTTTACAGAAGCGGACTGCCTCATCTTCCTCCCGCGCAGCAGCTGGCGGGTTTGAATCAGCAATGCTCTGGTTAGGAGCCAAACGCCGTACCCATTGCGCCCCCAGAGCTCCTGCTTCTAACACCTAAAACCATCCAAGAAAGGGGCATGAAGTCCTCACCGTGATGTCCATTTGTGAATGACCAGCAACGCGCAAGCCAAGCGCTGCCAGAAGCAGCACCGAAAAGACGCCGATTTACGAAGGAAACTGCGGTCGCGAAATCGCCCCCGAGGGAAGAAAAGACTTAAGCCTGACTTCACGCACCGCCCTTTACGAGATCCCTGTCCACGGACCCGCTAGGAGTCTCGCGATGTTACCTGCCCCGCGCTGAGAGACGCAGGCCCGCCCTCTCCGCTCCGCGTCCGGAAAGCGGCTTTGGCCGCCCAGCCGGGATGGCGCAGGAAGCGGCGGCGGCGGCACCCAGGCAAAAGGTGGCCCTGAGGCTCCGGGAGGCGGAGATACCGAGAGGGCGCGGAGAGCGAGGGCAGCGCTTCGGAGCCAGGACCGGAGCCCGCGGGGCACCTGCCAGGGGACCAGGCCGCCTGGACACCGAGGAAAACGTGCCTCTCAGGCGACCAGGACCGCGAACAAACACCTGGCTGCAGGGGTACCCCAAAGCGCCCACTTCCGCATCCGGTTTGTGGTCGCTCTGGTGCTTCAAGGGAAGGATTCCGTGGGGAAACACAAAATGCTCTAACTCGAATTTCTTCCATCTGTTTGTAAACACACATTCCAGTCATCAAAGATACCTGTGGGGACCAGGTTTGCTGGTGGGATAGAGCCTGGTGAAACCCTTGGTACTGTGGCCCCTAGCTGCCCTTCAGGTCTGGAATTGAACCCACACCTGTGGCTTCCAGCCGAGCAAAAGACAGGCATTTGAGCTGAACATCTTAATTGGGTAGATGCACTCCATGCAGAGATCAATAAGGAGAGAATATAAGGGCTGTGTATGCACAGAGAGACAGCTCTCGGGGCGAAAGTGCATGGGAGGGAAGGACACAGGGACATATGTATATCACGTATATTCTGACTCACGGCAACCCCCGAGGCTACACATCTTTACAGAGGTAGTTCGACCCATCTTCCTTCCACAGAACATCTGGTGGGTTTAAACTGTTGACCTGGTTAGCAGCCAAATGACTTACCCACAATGCCACCAGAGCTCTTTATGTTATGCATGTCTCATTAAAGCTCTCTCCCCAAACTAAGACCAACTTCTTTAACCCCACAGGTCCCTTTTGGACTTCTGATCTAAACTGAGGCAGGGTCTATGGCCAAGAGTCCAGAACTACCTCCCAAAAAGGTAACTATGGGGTGGAAGTAGGAGGGGAGCTGTTGCATTGTGGGAGATTTCAGTCGAAGTCATGAGACAACATATGTGAGCTGCTGTATGGACGATGAATTTGCTCTGTAAACTTTCACCCAAATCACAATCAAATTAATAATAATAAAAAAAGATACCCTTGGGGAGCAGAGAATTTGCATATTTCACCATTTGAAAAAGCTTTACCATATCTTTTAGTGAAATAATTTCTTCGCTCCTCCTGTTTCCCCATCTTCACAATTGAAGTTGCCAGGTTGGCTTGTTTCATGGACTGTCATCTCTTGCATATTAGCAATCTTTGGCTAGGAGCAGGCCCATTATCAATCCACCTCAGTAATGTTCCAGGGTTTTCTCTACTTAGCTGCAGCATAACATCACTTACCTTGCTTTCAGTAATTACAAGTAACAACCAAATGATCATCTAAAAACCAAAAGTTTCACCTTCCTTCTATCTCTTACTCCCTTGCTTCCATGACTCGGAGGCCTTGCAATTAATCCCACTCAAGACACCAACTGCCAAGGAGATGGGGGAAGTGTCCTCTGACCTCCTCTAACTTCACACAGAGAAGACAGAATCATCATTAGCAGCATCAACCCAAGGCTTACTCCTGAGAGTGGACATGCCACCACACTCCAGCCTTTTTGCCAATTCTGAATCCCTCCCATTGCACTCACTACTCCTCTGCTGGATTCAATAATTCATTGCAATGGCCACACAGAACTCAAAGACAATACTCACAAATATGGCTTTTATTAGGGAAGTAAAAGGTTATAATTCAGGTTCAGGAAGGCTCGGAATACAATTCTTTGATCAGGACAGCCTCCTCTCAGCCGTAGCTAAAAGTATGCCTCTTTTTTGACCTTTGGCCCCTCAGCCTTACCTCCGCCCTGCTCAGGCAAGTATTACAAAGCCCTTTTAGATTTTCTTAAAGAGACACCTAGGTGCACCTCACTCTACCAGCAAGCTTCGTACCCAAAGAAACTCAGCTTTCTCTGTGGGCCAGCAAGTTTGCCACTCTTGAGTCGTGCCGGTCTCTTGGCTCTGTTGACTGCTGCTGCTGCTGCTCTGTCTGCTGCTCTCTGTGCAGGAATTTTGGGTCCAAGGACACAGTCCACTCCTGCTTTCTCTATCTTGCTGGTAATGAGATCCCCCTTTCCACTTCTGGGATGGGTCATTTTAAGCCTAGCAGAATACCAAAACTGACCACTCCCCACATTGGGGTTCCATACACGTTATTTCCACGATTCCACCCCCACAAGGCTGCCATGTACCTTATTTACCTTGCTAACGTTGTCTCCAATCCCCTTGCTGGGCCACAAACACCTCACATTTACATCGTTCCACCCAGTCATCAAGTGGGAGTCACAGAGGCCATGGCTAGAAATGCCCTAAGTAACTCACTGCAGCACAGCATGGTAGGATGTTTAGCAGCACCTTTGGCTTCTGAAACACTAGATAGCCTTAGCACATGCCTCCCTTCTCATTGTGACTATTAAAAATACCCGCCACTATTGTCAGACAGCCTCTGAGGTAGAAAATGGATCTCAGTGGAGAATTACTGATGTAAAGGCGGAGGCTTCAAAACAGAGAGGGGAGGATTTAAGGTTAAAAGGGAAGGAAATGAGATTGTCTCTCTGTCCCACTGGGATGTCTTGAGCAATGTGATCAGAGTTTGACTCTGGGTTAAAATAGGGCTTCTGCAGGAGAACAGAAGTTCAACGCATCCTGGAGAGTCTGAGAGGACACTGACCCACAATCTCGGTCCCCTGGGATTTCTGGAGGCCCAAGGGATCAAGAAGGCAGGGCCAAGGGTCCACAGATTCAAATTGGCACCTGGGGTGATAACTGAGTTGCTGCCACCCATTGTCTGCTATGGATAGACTGTGACAATGAATACAAAGAGGGTTCACTGTGATGAAGAATGTTTTGGGGGTTAGGAGGGAGGAAAAACAAAACACACTGCCATCGAGTCGGATCCAACTCGTAGCAATCCCCCTTGGCTTTCTGAGGCATTATCTCTACAGAAGTAGATTGCCCAGTCTTCCTTCTGAGGAGTGGCTGGTAGGTTTGAACCGCCAGCCTTCTGGTCAGCAGTCAGATGCCTTAGGCACTGCACCTCCAGGGCTCCTGGGAGGGAGGAAGACGCAGCTAAATCAGCAGGTGAGGACCACAGGCTCTGTGCCAGGCCAAGAGGACACAGCCAACAGTCATCATCACATTTATGGTACAGGCTATCAGTGCAGGGACTAACCACAGTGCCAAGAGATGTCCATTCAGGTGACTGTCCAATGACTTCCATTTTCTGACTATTATTCTAACCAGTGAATGGCAGAGAGCTGAGATCCACAGGCCCTAGATTTTACTCTCATACGGAAATCTTCTCCCTTGCTCAGTGAGTGGTTATCCTCACAAAGATTCTTTTCTTTTTGCACCTTTAACCAATTGGTCACCAAAGATGTTTGGTGGACCTTCCTGTCCATTCAGTTACCCATAGAGTTCTACTCTCAGGCTCTTTCCATTTCTCCATTAGTCATTCCAGTAATTGGACAGTCAACACTTTACTGAGGTAGCCAGTCTCTAAGATGTCTCCAAATGGTCCACAGCTCCTGGTATTCAGGCCCCTGTGCTGTCCTTTTCCACTGTGAATAGGACTGAACTGTGACACCAGTATTGTGCAGAGACATCAGAATGTGGCTTCCAAGGCTACTTCATACAGAATTAGGTTTGCAGCTTCCCCTTTATTCTCCCTTGCACTGCTCACTCAGAGAGGAAGCCAGTCGCCATGTTGGGAGGACAGTCAATCAGCCCTATGGAGGGTCTCACATGGTGAGGAACCGAGGCCTCCTGCCAACAGCCAGATGTAGCTCCTCCAGTCCCAGTCAAGTTGCAACTGGCCAACATGCTCATCAGAGACTTTGAATCAGTAGCTCCAAATAACCCACTGCTGAATTCCTGTCTCACAGAAACTATTTGAAATAGTAAATATCGATTATTGTTTTAAACCACTTATTTTCTAGCTTTTTTTTTTTTTTTTCCGGTGGAGCAAGAGGAATCTAATATTAACATATAATTCTCAAAATCCTCTTTCTCCGCAAATAATTCATCAGTGTATCTTTTTTTTTTTTTTTTTTTTTTTTTTTTTTGACTGTTGTCAGCTGCTGTTGACTGGATTCCCATGCACAGTGATGCCATCAGAGTCAACCTACCCCATAGTGTTTTGGAGCTTTAAATTTGATGGAAGCAGATCACCAAGTCTTTCTCCTGCAAACCCGCTGAAGGAGTTCAAACTGCTAACCTTTTGGTTAGTCACCAGCAGGTTAACCTTTGAGCCACAACAGCGACTTCCTTCCCAGACTAAAAATCCAATCATCGAGTTGATTCCAACTTGTAGCAACCTCCATTGGATGTCCAAGACTGTAAATCTTTATGGAAGTAGATTGCCTCATCTTGCTCCCATGGAGCAAGCAGCTAGTGGCTTTGAACTGATGACCTTCTATTTACCAGCCAAATGCCTTACACACGGCACTACCAGAGCTCCTTCCTAGACTAGAAATACTAGTGGTATTTTCTAGACTAGATTTGCTAAATAAATACCAAAGGGCTATTTGGTTCCTAGGATTCAAATATTTCATTAGAGTTTCTTCAGAGGTTTTGTATGACACAGACGTGGGCAATGTGATCCTCTCCACCTAATGCTTCCAGTTTTAGGAAATTATGAATAAAGTTGTTACAAATATTTATGGGCAAGTTCTTGTATGGAAATACATTTTTGACCCATTTGGGTAAACACCTAAGAGTGCTATTGCTGGGTCAGAATGGTAGGTGTGTGTGGTACTCATGTTTGTGTGTCAACTTGGCTGGGCCTGGTTGAGTGGCTGGGTAGCTGGTGGTAGTTATTCGTCATGATGAGACTGGCAATCAACTCTATGGTGGGATCTACCACAAGCAGCTGAGTAGCTGCTTTGGGTATGTGGTCTGCGTCCCATATATAAGCAGCAGCTTTGGGAATGGTCTCTAGCCTATGGCATGCTTGGACCCTGCATGTAGCTGTGTCATTCCGTAGCAGCCTGCTATGCTCTGCCAACCTCGGGACATACAATGGACTTAAGTTAATGGCCTGCCGTGTGGTTTGGTAACATCAGGACTGTGTCTTTTGACTTGTCAACCTTGGGCTTCTCAGCCTCAGCAGCCAGCAGC